ATTGTGCATTTGCATAATTTGGCAAACCAGTTACCAGATGCGTTCACAGATACGAGAAGGGTGACAAAATCATATATACCCGCTGAAAATGTCCCATCAAGAGTTGTTGTTCCTAAAGAACACACTGATGGAGATACAATGAATGAGCCTAGGGCTCAGTTAAAGAGGGGGAGACCTGTGGGTTCTAAAGATAAAAATCTCCGAAAGAAAAAGAAATTGGTTGAGCAAAAAGGAAAGGTTCTAGAAGAACCTGATACTGAAAGATGTCTGAAAGAAGGCATAGATGAAAAGGTTCAAGAAGAACCAAATAAAGATAAGGATCCAGATGACGAGGAGGGAACAGAAAAGTATGATATTTCCATCAACTACGCCCAAGATGAAAAATTATGGATCAGAAATAAGATAAAAGATGTTGATGGAATGTTCTCCTTTTCTGTGTCCAAAGAAATAGATCACGAAAGTGATGATCCTGATCCAAGGTCCATTTTAGAATGTATGAAAAGACATGATTAGGAGGAGTGGAAGAAGGCCATTGAAATTGAATTACTCTCCCTAAATAAAAGAAATGTCTTTGGACCTATAGTCATAACGCCTGAGAATATAAATCCTTTTGGGTATAAGTGGGTATTCGTGAGAAAAGTAAATGAAAGGAATGAAGTAACACGATATAAAGCCCGATTAGTAGCCCAAGGTTTTTCTCAGAGACCGGGAATTGATTTTGAGGAAACATATTCCCCGGTGATGGATGCAATAACGTTTAGATTTTTGATGAGCCTTACGGCATCAAAGAATCTTGAAATGCATCTTATGGACGTTGTGACTGCATACTTNTGATGACCTGAACATTATTGGAACTCAAAAGGAAGTTGATGATGCACGAACTCATATGAAAGAAGAGTTCGAAATGAAAGATCTCGGAAAGACAAAGTTTTGTCTTGGGCTCCAGATTGAGCATCTCCGAGAAGGTATATTTGTACATCAATCAAATTATACGAAAAGGTTATTGAAACGCTTTCGTATGGACAAAGCAGCTCCTTTGAGTACTCCAATGGTTGGTAGGACTCTCGATGTTGAGAGAGATCCTTTTAGACCCTGTGAAGATAGCGAAAAGATGTTAGGTTCAGAAGTACCTTACATGAGTGCTATCGATGGGTTGTTATATCTAGCGAATTGTACCAGACCTGATATTGCCTTTGCCACTAATCTTCTTGCAAGATATAGTTCGGCTCCTACTCATAGACATTGGAACGGAATCAAACACATATTCCGTTACCTTCAAGGTACGGTTGACCTAGGTTTAATGTATTTTAGAAAACCCGAGTTTGGTATGGTTGGTTTTGCAGATGCAGGATACTTATCAGATCCCCATAAGGCTCGTTCGCAAACCGGATATGTTTTTACAATTGGTGGGACAGCGATCTCTTGGCGTTCGCAGAAACAAACTCTGGTTGCAACATCTTCGAATTATGCAGAAACCATTGCGCTTCACGAAGCATGTCGAGAATGTGTGTGGCTTAGATCAATAAGTTACCACATACAAGAAGCAAGTGGAATATTTGATAAAAAAGAACCGACGAAAATGTTCGAAGACAATTCGGCGTGTGTTGCTCAACTTAAAGAAGGCTATATCAAGAGCGACAGAACAAAGCACATGCCTCCAAGATTTTTCTCGTACATACGGCAGCTCGAGAAAAATTAAGAAGTGGACATCGAGTATGTACGATCATGCGACAATCCCGCAGATTTGTTCACAAAAGCCCTTCCGACTACAATATTCCGAAAACACGTTTACGGTATCGGAATGCGGCATTTGCGTGACTTATGAAGAAAAAGATATGTCTATTATTTTTAGGAAGAGATTACGTTAGTGTACTCTTTTTCCTTTTTCATGGTTTTTAGCCCAACGGGTTTTTCCATGACTAAGGTTTTAACGAGGCATTACGTAATAAAATATGACTAATCAAGGGGGAGTGTTACGGAATGATTAGTCATTCAATAGGACACTTGTCTCTTATTCATCATGCTTAGTCATATTAATATGTATCCTTATCATAGCAATAGGTGTCTTTGTTTAAGACAATCTCATGTACTATAAATAGACGTGAGATGTGTGCAAAATAATAAAAAGTTGAACCATTTTGTATCTTCTTTCTTCACACCACAAGTCAATTCTCTTGTTACTTTGTTTACACAAGAAGACAAAAGTGATAAAGTTGTTCTTTCTCTGATTACTAATATTTAAAATATACATGAATTTCTTTTTTTTTTTTGAGCAACAGTATACATGAATTTCTTATATGAAATTTTAATACTTCATCTATTAGGTTAAAATTAAATTTTGATACATGTCGACTAAAAATCTCTTCATAAATATCATCCACAGAATGACAAAATATTTCCAAAAGAATTAAACATCCAACAAGTCTATAAAATTTGAGGAAGAGTAGATAGTTAAACTTTTACTACCATTACACCCATTACAAAATGAAATACAAAAACCCAAATAAGAATACCTACCAATTGGATAATTGTTGTCAACATTCCTTTGGATCATTCGATTGAGTCGATAGAACTCTTACCCAAGGCAACCATAGATTTTTAAAAAATGGAAAAGGTCAACGCAAGAGGATATGAGAAACAAAGATAGCCTTCGAAGAATCAGTTCTTGCCATCTTTGGGGCAGATTGAAACGACTACCTGTAAGTATGTTGTTCTAACACATCGCAAAACCAAACCAGTATTGCTATAGACGAACGAACACCAATTATTATTATATAATAACTAGAATTTTCAAATTATAAAACAAGTTAAAACTTATAAACCAAATTAATCACTTGGTATCACAGCATAAACAAGTAATAGCAATACACGGTTTACAAACGAGCCAAACCAAACCGATACAATAAGACCCACATAAACGTTTGAATCAAAGGATCGAGCACCCGCCTTTGAGTTTAGACGCAGCTGCTTGGTCAAGGAACCAGACCACTTCAACATCCGCGGTTAGCCTACCAGCAGGTACATCTTTGGTGTGAGTAAGAGCAGCCTCAACCGAATCAGCTTGTTCTTTATCACACACGGCCATAACATTGTATGAAGCACAGTTGATAACCGGTAGAGTAAAAGTGATCCGTTTTGGTGGGGGTTTAGGTGAATCGGTAATAAATGTAACCCATTTCACTTTCTCATTGATCTGATCATGTCCCGGGAACAAGGACGCCATGTGACCATCTGGTCCCATTCCTAGAAGTTGGAGATCAAATTGTGGGAAACCTGCGGATTTGTATGTTCGGATTATGTTTTGGATCACATTTTGTTTGAGGCATTCCTCATACCGTTCGGCTGCGAGCTCGGCATTGCCTTCAGCACCGAGTCCGTCGTCGATGGCATGGATGTTCTCGGCCGGAATAGGAACCTGGATGTTAGGATTTTATGTTGTCGTTGACTCATGAATTCAACTTTGATAATACACAATTTGTTATCAAATAGATATCTATGAACATGATCTTTCCTAGACCTTTTGTGTGTGTTTTATATTAACTAAACCTATTATTTCCGGTGTTTAAATCAAAATTTCATTATAAACCATGAACATTAAACACGTATGTACAATTTTCAATATCAGTTGATGGATATATACAAATATGCTCTATTTTCTAATAAAATCTTATTGTAACATCTATATGCAAAAAAAATTGTGTGTTTGAAACAATAAAATTTTATTCAGATAGTATATTGGTTGGTAACTTATATATGTACCTTAGAGAGAAAACCGTCGTAGGCGAGTTTATAGTTGCTATCGGCATTATCCCAACCACAAACCCTCTCATCGACCCAAAAGATGTGCCACTTAGACCATTCAATGGAATCAATATAAGGAGGTTCCAACAGTTTCCTGTTACATGAATCAAATATATTGAGATTTGTATTAATAAGTGTGAGGAATAGAGTTTTTTTTTTTTTTTTGTATATACGAAATCTGGAAGCAAACCAGAGCCAGGAGATAAGGTCACCGCCGGAGAGAACAACGGTGAAAATTCCTCTTTCTTTGCAGAATTTTGAGGAGAGATTCGCCGTGTATTTAGCTAGCTCCACCGCCATTTCATCCTTTGTTTTGAATATTATCTTCTTCACCGGAGCCATTTAACTAGAAGATGATGATGCTTTTGATGGTAATTGTGATAGTGGTGATGATGATGATGGCATTATACAAGTGGAGGAGCTTTGCTTTTATAGGGAAAGTGAATGGAGAGTTGTTACTTACTAATTATTTGTACTGTATGTGGAAAATTGGATAAACAACAAATGGTATGTAAATTTTTTTTCGTCAAGCGGGTATGTAATATTATACATGTTTTAAAAATGGGTATGTATGTTACTACAAAAATGAGTATGTATGTTACTACAACAGCTGTAAAAAAATTACTCCCTCTGTTTCAATATAAGTGTCACTCTACAGCTATGCACATGGATTAAGGAAACAATTAATTTTACATATTTCCTATATAAAAACACAATTACCCATACACCTAACCATATTTTAACCAATAGAAAAACAAATTACATAATAAAATTAATAAATTTTACATTGAAAACCGAAAACGACACTTATTTTGTAACACAAAAAATTCTCTACAACGACACTTAATATAAAACGGAGGGAGTATAACACAACAAAATGATATTTTAGATATATTATACTCCCTCCGTTTCATATTAAGTGTCATTGTAGAGAATTTTTTGCGTTACAAAATAAGTGTCGTTTTCGGTTTTCAATGCAAAATATATTAATTTTATTATGTAATTTGTTTTTCTATTGGTTAAAATATGGTTAGGTGTATGGGTAATTGTGTTTTTATACAGAAAATATGTAAAATTAATTGTTTCCTTAATCCGTGTGCACAGCTGTTGAGTGACACTTATAATGAAACAGAAGGAGTACCTTTTTGATTTCTTCTTTAAAAAAATACCTTTCTTTGTTTGTACATTTACAATCTTATTATTATTATTCCTTGCGTCCTTATTAAATTACATACATCTATATATATACATGTATTTTTCTATGATATTAAATTGTTTGTGGTTTAAGATTTTTTCCCCGAAATAACTTTGTTTGAACTTTTATTATGGCATGAGTGTAGATAAGAAAGATGAAATCTAATGTGAAGTTGTGAACGATTGACTACATATGTAAATGTAACGTAGTCTAGTTATTTTAGTCAAGTCTCCACCAATGCTAACATCTTTCCTTCTAATATATTAGAAAAGTATTTATATGTATCATTGTCATAAGACAATGATAGATTTTCCATTTCACATTGTCTTCTTCTCCGCGTTAGTTTTATTTCTGTCTGCAAGTGTTAGTTACATTCATTTTAAACGTGGCTATATATGTGAGCTATAAGATACTTCTAATGTACGAATGTGAATCTTTAAGGTTTTATGTTAACGTAGTACATTATTACAGATGTGAGAGGAATGCTGATGGGTCGGACATGGTTGTGTTAAATTAAATTGTTAATGTGAGTCTTTAAATATGTATATAACTTCACAGAAAAGTAGGTATAGTCTAGTCTAGTCTTATAGTAACTAGTTGCATACTCTCCGCGCAAGCGCGGGCCCGGGATCATTATGTTTGCGTATATTTTTTTCGCTTGTTGGTTTAGTGGATTCTTCTAATGACACCAAATAATAATGAAATTAAAAGAATGTAGTAAGAGTGTAAAGTGAAAATATTGTATATCTAATATGTTAAATGTTATTTATATGCGAAGTAAGGTTTATAGGAATAGTTATGCTATAATATAGTTTTTAGTGTGTAAAAGTATGTGTTTTTTTTTTTGCTGTAAATAGTTTTTATATCGTAGATCAAAACTTGATATAATTCTATAGTTATAGTATTTATATTTGTATTAAACGATTTATCAATTTGAAAATAACCTTAATTAAGTTAACATTCGTTGTTTAAGTTTCATTAGATAGGTTTTTATATATGGTTTTTTGTAAGTTTAAGTTTTGTTCATAAATGATGTGGCATTTTTATCTACGGCGTCATCAACTGTGGGAATTCATTCGCCGAAGTCTGGAGTCGATGGTGAGAAATGTTTTCAATGAAATTATAGTAGTTATTAAAATGTAAGAAAAATTACATATTCATTTAATAAATAACGAAAAATACTTAAATTTTGTTGTATATTTTATTTTATTTCACATACAAATTTTTTGAAATTATATTAGGAATGTGTTAAATGTTATTTATATGCGAAGTAAGGTTTATAGGAATAGTTAGGCTATAATATAGTTTTTAGTGTGTAAAAGTAGGTGTTTTTTTTGCTGTAAATAGTTTTTATATCGTAGATCAAAACTTGATATAATTCTATAGTTATAGTATTTATATTTGTATTAAACGATTTATCAATTTGAAAATAACTTTAATTAAGTTAACATTCGTTGTTTAAGTTTCATTAAATAGGTTTTTATATATGGTTTTTTGTAAGTTTAAGTTTTGTTCATAAATGATGTGGAATTTTAATCTACGGCGTCATCGACTGTGGGAATCCATTCGCCGGAGTCGGGAATCGGTGGTGAGGAATGTTTTCAATGAAATTATAGTAGTTATTAAAATGTAAGAGAAATTACATATTCATTTAATAAATAACGAGAATAACTAATTTTGCTGTTTTTTTTATTTTATCTCACATACAAATTTTTTGAAAATATATATTAGGAAATATGTGCAATGATTTAACTTTTTGAGTTTTTAATCTATATTATTCAAGCCTCATTAAGCCATCCACGTAGGCAGCCACGTGGGATTCATTTTTTTGTTTTGTTTTTTGGTCTGTTCGTTTTTGGATTCATTTTTTATTATTTTTGGGTTGAAATATTATAATAGGATATTTTTGGTTCTTTAAGCCATCCGCGTAGGCAACCACGTGAGACTTGCTTTTTTTTTTTTTATTGTTTGTTTTTGCATCCATTTTTAACTATTTTTTTGTTTGAACTTGTTAAGTTTTAGGTTTTTTTTTTATCAAGAAGCTTTATGGTTTATTCAACTATTTTGATCGTTAAAACAATAAGCAAAAAAAAAACATAAAAACCTTATAAACAAAAAACCCATATGATAATAACCAAAAAAAAAAAAAAAAAATCAAAAATATATGATGGCTGTGTGTTTGAACCTACGATCTTGCATGCTTAATTAGACACATTATACCACTTAGCTAAAGTGTATTTTATTGTTTGTAATCAACTTACCAAGACTATGATGTTTAAAAAATACTTACGGGACCCACAAAACTGCTGACGTGGCGCGTTGTGGAACATAGAAAGTCTATTATTATAATATAGATTTATCTGGATGACTTTTGATTTTGATCAACGTGGACTGAACTGTTGGTTTTACATTAGCCTTTCCATTTTAAAGAATCCAATGGGAATATCAGTAACAAAAGTTAGAGCGGTGGAATACGCCCAAACACCTAAAAGAACTTTTGGGAATGTGCCCCAAAAACCAGAAGTGCACGCAAATTCACGGCGAAAGATAAGCCAATGTCTCAAGTAACCGAATCCAAGTGCGTCTTCATATGCGTAAAAAACAGTGAGGCTGACATAACAGGCAACCACGTGAGCAATCAAATCGAGAGTCTCGGCCAAGGTAAACTCGAAATTTCGAAGGTCAGTCATTTTTGAAGATAAAAGTATTACATCATCTCTCACGAAAATTAATCGAAGATACAACAAAATATCTCAAGAAATTTCAGATGACAAAAATTGTAAGCGGGTATGGTGATGCGTAAAAGATGACAGTTTAGTTATATTTTGATTTATAAATAAAATAATGAAGCAAGGCTAAACTGTATTAGCATATGCATTTGAACATGCAAAAACTATCTTAATAATTTAACCTACCGACTTAATCACACGATGCTAGTGCATTAGAAATCTATGATTTCATCGATTCAGAATTCTCAAAAAATGTAAGCAAATAGAAAGTAAATGCATAGGCAAAAGGAAAGTGCTTAGAAGACAAAAAAGTTGTAATTTTTCAAAATCTTTCAAGAATTTCGAATGTTGTAATTTAAATTTATCCTATGTAAAAAAGTCCCAAGTGTTATCTGAAGTGGTTAGCAGCACAATACAGTGAACAATAAAAAATCAAACAATAGCTAACTAGAATAAATAACCAAAAGAACAATTGAATTGATCCAAATGTCTTCAAATTAAATATCCAAAAGAGTATTTCAGCAATAACAACAACAAAAGAAGACGCATCTTTGTTTTAGGAGACTCTAAAGAAAGGAGGAGAAAGTTAAAGACCATAGTTCTTAAAAAGGTTGGTTCAAAGATACCGGGCAGGCTCTGCTGACTGCGACTCAAACTTAAAATAAAATAAAAAGACTAAAAAGATTTTTGGTATTATAAACACATAAACGCCTCAAGTACCTTCTTCTTCTCTCTTCTTTAGTCTTCTTCATCTCTCCTTTTATCTTTTTGGGATCTCCACAGCAAGAGCTTTTGTCAACATTTCATTTGCTCTCAGCGAGGGGATAGTGTGGCCTTACTGGTGTCTTTGATGGACTTACCCTTTAAAAACACACACACACATACCAAACACAAAGATGAATACAAGATTCTCAAATTAAATTTATAATACACCGAGAAAGATATCACATTATAATCAGAACTGAGTAAGAAGGAGCCAAGTCTAGAATGTGACATAACACTTTCTATTAGTTTCTATGAAAAAAGCTAAACATAGGAGTAAAATGTTTTTACCTTATAGGGAGTGTGCCCAAGACAACACCACTGCAGTTGAGAGCACCAATTGCACTTTCCGCCTGAGAGACACCATTAGAATTTGTATGAGTTTCCAATTAATAATCATAGTCCCTAAGATGAAGTGAACCAAATCAGATTGAAACTAATATAGAAGTTTTGAATCTTGAACATTGTGAACTTCATATTCAACGTTATGCATCCAACTCTTTGAGGCTCAAAGAAACTCAGAGACAATCTTCAAACATTAGCAGCTTTATGAAATGTAGTTAACCAACCAAAACAGTAACACGTAAAACCTAAAAAACGAGGCTGAGAGAATTACATGGGCAAACTCAACAAAAGCAATGCGGCTATGGTGGTGATAGTCTCCAAGCCTCAGACGATGAACCTACAAAAGATATAGAAAAAAATACTGATTGTTAGAGCAGAAAACACTATCAAATAGATATTAGCTTTCGAAACCAAATGCTTACCTCTCCGCAAAACATTTCAAAGAAGCCTTTCAAGTCAGTTTGACTAATCTGCAGATTCAAGAAACAAAGAAAACTTAGTTTCTCCAAATACTTAAAATATTCTCTCACAAAATAAATGGTATTACCCGCTTGTCAATGTTAGTACAGTAAACAGTCCTCATGCACATCTCACGCTCAATCTCAGACTGCAAGAAAGAATCATCATTATGGTTAAAACTGATTAGATAGAAGCCAAGCTTAACCATGATTCTATGAACCTACCCGGGGAAGGAAAGTGGGGTTAACAGGGGCAATAGCGGTTTTGGAAGGAAGAACCTTAAGAGGATAAAAACCAAGCACTGTTCCTGACATGCTCAAAGCAGCCCTAGCTCCCTCTGCAGCAAACACATATCTTTGATTAGTTAAAGAGAAACAGTACTGTAATAGATATCTTAAAGTAGCCTATAAAAGGAACTACCTTCACTAGTGAACTCAACGAAAGCGAAACGAAGGAGAGAATTTGGGTCACCGCATACACGGCAATCAACAACCTATGAGAAAGTTATCATCACATGAGTTGTTGCATATACAATCAAAACATAGCGAAGATGATTTTTAACTACCTGTCCACAATTAGCAAATAAACCTGCGAGGTTCTCCTCGGTAACCTACAAACGAGAGACAAGTTAAGAGACGCAGTTTTAGGAGTGCATGGTATCGGAAGCTTACCTGTTGATCAATCTCGGAGACATAGACAGTTCTCCTGATAACATCTTCCTTCTGAGCCAAGCTGGTTCTTTTGTTCATTCTTCTCTTCCCTTGGCCAAAGCTCCTTCTCTGTAGTGTAAACACAAAAGAATTACAGAGTCGATGTCTAATCCACAAGACAGTACTATACGCTTTTCTTTCATGTCTCTAGCAGATAATAAGAATGTGTCAAACCATTTAAAGAAGACTTCCACAGAAATACCAAAAAAGTATGTTGAACAGCAAACCCAAATCCATTTTCTCAAAGTGTGTAACTGAATAAGCAAAAACCTATAACTTATCAAACCTTACAAAAAGAAAGTAAAACTGCTTCTCACACAATGATCAAGCTATAGCCAACAAGTAAAGCTCGAAACTTTATGTTATCTATTTGCTAGCACAAGCTTTTTTCAATCAATAAGCAATCTGCCAAATCATGGTAAGCAAAGCACACACAAAAGCTCTACACTTTATATCACTGATTCTCTATACACCTCACTGCATCATCAAACTCTAGGAGAAGATAAGAAAAGATATATTATCAAAACTTGCAAATGATTGAAAACAAATGAAAAGCCAAAACAACCACACACAAACTTGTTATCCATAAAACACTAATCAAAGGGATCAAAGTTGTTTTAAGGATGGGAATATATGAATACCCTTCTAAAAAGATGATCATTCCCATCTGCAAAAACAGGCTGCACAGCAGAACTCTTAGCAAATCCAAATCCATTTCTCAAAACTCCAGATTGACTTGTAGCCAAATAAGGAGGAACAAACTCCTTAGCCATCGGGTTGAGCTTAGAAAACGCATCAGCCAATTTCTTGAGACACCCTCCATTAGTCTCTTTCTCACCATTTGGGGTCTGACCCTTTTCTTCAGTCTCATCGCTCCGATCATCGGAATCTGGAGTCGGAGGATTCGATGAGTCAGGTTTAGGGCTCTGATCATCAGGACATGAGGGTTTGGTCTCAGTGTTGTTGTTGTTGTTGTCTAAATTCTGAGCAGAAGAGTCAACTTTAACACCAGCATTCTCAGGGACAGCCATGATCGGACACAAAGAGATCAATCTCTAAAAAAAAAGTTACGAACTTGAAGATGATGTCTGCATCAAAAAACTAAACCAAACTGAGTATAATTGTAATAGAAATGAGTAAAACAAAAAAAAACACAGAGAGAGAAGATACGAAACCTGAGAGTTTTGTCTGTTTGATCAGTGGTGTTCCATAGATGGAGAAAACCCAACTTTAAAGATCAACAATGAGCAGAAGAAGAGCTGAGACTGAAACAAATTAAAAAGAAAAATTGGATTTTTAAGGAAGAAAGTAAATGAGAAAAAGGAGAAAACTTGGAATATTCTTCCTAAGGGCATATGATTAGAAATTTAGAATACAAGTAACATCATACTATCACCATACATTTGGTTATAATTAATTAACTTTACTATATACTTTTGCTTCTGTACATTTCATATCTTTTACTTTATCCTTATGAAGCTTCCTTCTTTTCTTTTTTTAGAAATTTTTTTTTTACTAAATTAAAAAATATAAATATAATTATAACTAGGATGTTAATAATATTCAAAGCTAAAGATTTGCAACTGCCTTATTAATGTTTTACTCTAGTTGTTGGAACTATCATTGGTTAAATTTTATAATTTACCATAATAGTATCTTTTTCCAATACTTGGCAATGAATTAAGATATTGTTGTATTAAATGATTTTTTAGTATAATTTTAATCAATGTTAAAAGAAATACGGTTTATACAACCATATTTAAGCCGTATATATTTCATTAGAAAAAAACATGCCAACTAATCCAAGTGTGAAGTGTAAAGTGTGTTTTAGAACACTAGGTTCAATCGAAACATGTAAACCATATAGCTGCCTATAATCCAATAACATACATAAACTAGTTTCAAAATTAGTAAAGGACTAGTATATTTCTTACCAAACTACCATATAGGAATCTGGAAATCTACAGTCGTCAGTGGACTATTCCACACCCGCTTATGTGGAATGTGGACCTTAGCCATCCGCTCAAAATCAAAGTTGTTTATTCACGTTTAGTTGTACGCTTCGCTAGTCAGTCGCACAACTAGAATCCAAGGTATTATAAAACACTGACATTGAAAGTAATTTTAAAAAATTAACATAGTACATTAGAATCACTATAAATTAAACTCGATGAATATATAATCTGTATAAATTAATATATTTCAGTTGTTCGAATTTTGGTCGGTTCAAAATTGATAAAAAATCGATAAAATAATAAAATAATATTTTTTAAATATTAGATATAAATATATGATCCTATTAAAATAATATATATATATATATATTTTATATAAATAAAAATCTATCATTATATTGTTTGTTTTATATTCACAATGAAATTATCTTTATATTTTCTTAACACTTAATATATTTTTGAAATTTTTAAGTAAAATTATATATAAACCCATTTAAATTATATGCAATATATATTATATACATCAAATAATATAATAAAATTAATATAAATGTCAAAAAAAATTACAAATAATAATTAATATTTATACACTAAATTGAATATTTTTTAATAAAAATATATTAAAATAAGAAATCTAAAATAAGGAAATTTTTGTAAGTTAATATCTGTATAAATTAATAAATTTCTAATATTATTAATTTATAACAATTTTACTGTGGTAGTTTTTTTTTCTTAAACTAGTTCTAGAATTGGTANAAAAAAATTACAAATAATAATTAATATTTATACACTAAATTGAATATTTTTTAATAAAAATATATTAAAATAAGAAATCTAAAATAAGGAAATTTTTGTAAGTTAATATCTGTATAAATTAATAAATTTCTAATATTATTAATTTATAACAATTTTACTGTGGTAGTTTTTTTTTCTTAAACTAGTTCTAGAATTGGTAAATGAGATGCAGATGCTTCAAGTCTTCAACGTTACAAGGAGACCTTCAAAACCACATTGAAAATTTTTAAAATGTGAATTTGAACTAGTAAACATCCAATTAATATACATTCAATTTCATTAAATACTACAGAAAGTTGCATTGGGAATGCAAAACTTACTTATCCGCGTTGTTGACCGATTCTATTGCTTATCCTGTATCTACCTACCTGCATTCTTAAACTAATTTCGTATGGTCCTTAGTCTGCACATGTGATTATAGATCAGTAGAATATTTTCTTAGAATATCATAACTACAAAAGATAACAAGTGCTTCAAATGTTATCACTAAAGAGAATGAAACTCATTCAGTGTGAAAAAGAAAAAAGTCCTTGTTTGGAAAAAGAAGTCCTTGTTACGAGGGAAATTGATCTTTGGTAAACGTGTCATCAGAAGATTTTACTAGATAGTCAATTGTATCCCTGTTTTGACTTTTCTAAAACCTGTTTTTTTTTTTGAAAAATTCACAATTACTTAAAAATATCTAAAGATAATATTCAATAATAATAATAATAATTACTCGAAACATCAAATATTCATTAAATACCTAGTGATTATCTAAATCAAACTAGTTGTAATCTTAATTATAAATATAGTCATACATTATGCAAATATATATTAATCAAATATATATTGTATATTATTCAAATATATATTGTATATTCTTTTAAGATGATTTTCAAAATTCTAAAATAGATTTGGATTTTGTTTTTTTTACATAATTTAAAAAGTAAATAAACCCACAAAAATTTGAATTGAAATTGAATCAAAATTCATAAATATTTAAAGTGTAGCAAAATTTTTGTTCCCTAAAATTCAAAACCACTTAAACAAAAGAACGAAAGAAAGGCTACCCGCATATCCATCTCTAGTCTTGACTATTTTTACATGGTGGATCCAATCAAAGTTAAATGCAAAATTCGGA